GGGAGAAAACCGGTTCCTTGTGTTTCGACCCTTTTCTTCTCAGTTGCATGGGAATGTAGCACAATATTTTCCCCTTAAATAATACTTTTCCGTATTTAATTGTCAAAAATATTTCTTTTAAAGAACTTTGTTTAATGCAATTTTTAGTTCCATAAAATTTCCTAACTAAGAAGATTTCAATCTTTTTGAATTTAAGACCGAAACTAACGTACTTCCTTCTTCTATGACTATCCACACAATAATGATGAAACCATGCAAGTATTGCCATAGGTAGAGATTGCTGCTATGTGCCGCCTATAGCCCATTTAAATCGCCAAATAACGTTTTTTGTTGTACTGAGGGAAGTAACCGAATGACCTCAAAATAATTATTATAGTCGAATTCAGTTTTTCAAAATCTATAGGAATAAAAGGTTTCGTCCCTCATAAATTTTATGCTACAATTGATGACATTTCTTTGTAAATGCCAAACCTTGGAGGAAAAATAGGTTTGGCGTGAACATTCATTATCCAAGACGAAAGGTCATACTGAGAGTTTAACATTTTTGTTTACCGATATGTTTTGTAATCATTCGCTCTGAAATACAAATACAGTCTGTCTAAGAAAAGAACTTCTCTCGCCATTCGTCTGGAGCAGAGGCCATGGATATGAGGTCAATATTTAAGACAGGGTTTAGCTCGGGTCTGCGAGAGAAAGAGAAGTTCTCTTTGAAATGCGAAATTTTTTTTTTATAGCAACAGATGGGCTTAAACTGTGGTGAAAGGAATTCTTTGTATAGACAAACTATAAATTGCCTTAATTATTTTTTAAAAATTTTCTCGGTCATAGAATTTTTGTGCTTGTTTATTAAGCGAATACAAAACCTATTTTATTACTTCTGTTCTATCAAGATTCATCCCGTTTGTTCATGGCACATATAAAAAACACCTATGTTAAGGATAAAAAATATATTACATCTTAAGGATAAAAATAATCTTTTTTTTTTCTCCCTCGAGCATCCTCCCTTGCATTAAAAAATATTATTTGATCATTGCCAGTATATAATAAGTTAAATTCATTTTAAATATAAGTCAGAGAAGTCTCAAGAATCTCTTAGGACATAAGTCCGATTCGATATAACATTTTATTATTCATAATCCAAAATATATAAAACTTTTTTAAGTTAAGTCAATTAACTGCCCAAATTTCTCTTGAAACCAAAACTGAAATCGCTGCTCAGGCCGTATTATTCCCTTTCATGAAAAGAAACTGCAAATTTCGCTAAATAGTCTCTTCCCAAGATGATAATTTATTAAACCTTTAAAATTTTTTGAGCAGGAGGACATAGCACTCTGAGAGCTGAGAAGTTAGACATAAGAATAAACACACACATTGCTATCAGCGTTTCGAAGCAGAACGTTTCAGTATTGCAATTTCTGGGTGTTTCCCCATCCCCACAGTTACACTATCAATAGGACAGGAAAGAAAGGATTTAGGAACAAAACTGAATTCTCCCTCCATACACTTAATAATATATAGAAATTTAATAACCATTTAAAATTCCTGATTTTCTATCATAGCGAAACAGGACAATATATTTCTCGAAATAGAATATAAATTAAACACCAATTCGATTTTACTTATCCTTTCAACACAAACATATAAAAGGATTTATATAAAAAAGGATTTATATATAAAAGGATTAGTGATCCACAGCTCATTGAAAAGTTTTGCTATATAACTGTCTGTAAGTGTCACTACTTTTGTTATTTAAAGGAGATAAAAAGTAGTTTACTATCTCTTTTCACTACAAAATTAAAAATTTTTCAAGGTCTTGACCAAGATTTGAGTACATAATCAAGTTAGGATTTTCTTTTCGCAAAATATTTTTTAATTTTATTTTAAATGGCAGTGTTAGGGTTAAATGAAGAGACAGCTATCCCATACACTTACAAAACAATAAAAATAAATAAATTAGCAAGAACACCAGCACACTTAAAAATATGTTGGCTTTTTGTGTTCTTGATTCAATTTATCGATAGTTTAACATAACAGATAAGAGGGTGATTGTTGGAAACTATCATTACGTAAATTGTAACTAATCCCCCCTCCTCAAAAGAAAAAACTGTTCTTGACTTAATCTAAATTTTTTCTGAGTCTATTAAAATCAAATTAAATCACAAAATTAATTCACTTTTATTTCTGATGTTGAGTTAGTTAAACTGGATAAGACTTTGATTTTTGAAATAATTGGTGTGTTAAGTTTGAGTTAGCCGTAACTGGCTGAATTCTACCACTGGTTTGATGTCATACCGTAGTCAGACGGGAGAGTCACTGGAACAGAATAGCAAGGTTGGTGATGAACAGTAAGCGAACATACTAAGCTGTTAGAACTGAGTGCACTGCTTGTAGAGGAAAGAATTATATGTTTATACATCCTACATCTAATGCCCTATTTAATTGATGTTGAAAATTACATTTTTTATGGGAAAGATTATAAAAGATGATCTTTGCATAAAAATTGAAAAGGGCTTGGAAACTTAATTTGGCCATAAATGTACAAGGTTACTAATTACTTAGCTTTTTTCTTTAAAGTTAATGCATCTAAAAACAAACCAATTTTTAAGAAACAAAAGAAAACTTGCGATACAATTAGTCATCTTTACTACTAGTAAGTTACAGGGTTGGCAGGTTTTTGACATGTGACAGTTTAAACCATGGTTTAAACCGTCACGTCAAAAACCTCACTGTCAAAAATGTCGAAAATGTCAAAAACCTATATTCATATGTGAAATTTAATTAATACATAAAATTTATATATTTTTTATAAAGGATAGTGTTTCTAAATATGTTCTAGAAAAAATAAATTTAAAATTTTGAAGAAACACTTATATTTTGAATAGTAACCAAAATCTTGTACTTTTGAAAGCTCACATCTTTTGTAATATTATGTATTCATTTTCATGTGTTATTGAAAATCTGCAGTGATATTATTAAGAAATTTATTTATAACCAAATTTAGTGTATAGTATAGATTATACTAAAAATTAGACATTTTTAAAGATAAACATTAGCAGTTTTGTACATTAGACATCTTTTAAAGAAAAATCTTTTTAATATTCTTTTAAATCTTCTTAATAATCTTTTTAACATAAGACAATACAAATTTAAGTGCTTTCTGTTAAATACACAGAGTAGTTAGTGTCGATTTACAGTATATTCAGCCTATTCATTTACTATGCTGAAAATTTAGTTTATCCAAATACTTGTGAATTTCATTTTGCTGAATACGATATAGTTTTGTTGAATATCTAAATATTCAGCTGTTGAATAATTACTTCTTGCTTTCAAGATATGCATTATTTGTATTCTTAATACAAGTGGAGAAAAAAAAAATTTAGAGATAAAAATTGTTTTAAAATGATAAGTGTAATAATTATAAATAAATATAATAAACAATATGTAAAAAAATTTATCATTATTCATAAATATAACTACTTTTAAATTCAAATTAACATACTGGATAATAAAGATATTCGGTATAACATTAAAAAAAATTTTTTACACTTGTATTTATACAACATAACTTGTAAGTTCCTTATAAATATTAGTTATATGTTCCTTATATATCAAAAGTGCATAGTAATAAACTTTTAATTTTCTTAAGTATCAAAAAGAAAAAAAAAAATTTTTAAATATAAATATTTAAACAATTTTTGTGCAAAATTTTTCTGCACATGCATTTGAATATAAATTTCTGAGATTTTAAATCTGTTATTTTACCTTAATTTTAATTAAAAAATATTTTAAAACCTGCTGATTACCTATAGTATAATTAAATTTCAATATAATGCATGGCAACTGTTGGTAGTTTTGAAGTTTATATATTTTCTTGGCAAACTTCAGTTTTTGACATTTTTGACGGGTTTTTGACGGTTTAAACCAGTATTATACCCTTGTCATGTCAAAAACCACTTTTTAACGTCAAAAACCCAACCCTGGTAAGTTATAATAACTTTGTTGATTGAAAGAGAGTCATAAGAGCTTACTCTCATCATATTATTTGATTGGTCACTATACCTTTCCTCTATATACTTTGGAGAAAAAAAAGTCCCAAAATAATTTTATAAAAGGAAATTGTAAATTACATAATTAGAGCAAGGAATAAATTTTAAAATATTTACTAGAATTTTAATTGAAAAAAAATGCTTTCAGGAAGCTCAAAATTTTAGGCTTTTCATATGTTAGATTGCTTTGAAATTAATAATACATGTAATATTTTGATTAATACAGCAATAATGATTAGTTATCAGAGAAAAAACATAATACAAGCAAATAAAAGAGAATTCTAATAGAATTAAGTAAAAATTTCGTTTCTAGAAAAAGAAAGGAAAATCATAATCTATTCTGTTCATGTTGATTGGAAATTAATTGTTTTTTTTTTTGACAGAAATATTGTTCAAAAAATCATAATACATATTTATGGGGTTTTGTAAATAAAAAATATTTTGTATATATAACAATATATACAAAATATTTTTTATATACAAAAACCCCATAAATATGTATTATGATTTTTTTCCAGAGGTTCATTAGAAATATTTTTATTATATAGTTCTCATGTCAAGTCTGTTTTAAACACGATTCAATACAAATTTAGTTATAACTTTAAAGTAATGAACATAAAAATTATGAATATTCTAGATAATAGCCACTACGATAGTTCTTTTAGTATTCAGTATATTTTTTTAAAATTATAATGTAGTAGTTATAAAATCATATATGCTGTAATAAAAATAATAATTATACTCAAAATTTTATAAATAAGAGTAAAATATAATTTAAAGCTTATAATTTTATGAAAGAACAACAATTTTCATTTGATGTTCTTGATATTCAGTTTGCTGTAAACATCAAAGCAAAACATGTAGACATTCAATCGCAGAACAGTGAATTATCATTCGCAACAGCTCTTTATAGTGAGAGTTCATACCTTCAACCATTTATAATAAAGAGGCAAATTGACAATGAATGAATATTTTTATTTTGTGAATTACTTAACGTCATCTACAAACCAATAAAATACTTTACAATCAATTCCAACCTGTCTTAAAATCTACAATTGTTAACTTTTTTTCAAAAATTAAAAGGTTTACAAATTTACAGCTAAATATAAAACATGACACACAACTTAATGCTCTGGTAAATTTAAGGGGAAATTTCTAACATACATTTTATAATCTTAAGAGTAACTCAGTAATAGAAAAAAAAGTTTTTAAAAAAAATCACACATATTTGAACAAAACCTGAACCATAAATTGAGCGTTTTCCTTATTTTAACAAATAAACCTAGGTTATACTAAGAATAGAAAAGATACATAAAAAGGTATTCAACAACAGTAACTGTTCTACAAATTTTTCTCAAAAAATTACACAAAGAAAACAAATTTACAGAAGAAAAAAAATAATCTCTAGCCAGGAAAATGAATGAAAAAATATTTCTTTTCTTCAAACATTTTTAATTTTTTAACAGATATGATCAAAAGAGTGAAAACAGGTCTTTAAAATATTGCAGAGAAAAAATTAATATAATCTCTTTAAAAGTTAACCATGTTCCTTCTGGATTGATACACAAAGGTAAGAATTAGAAGCATTAGAATTCATATTTACCTGAGATGGCACAGTATTAAATTTTCAATAAAATTTGAATTAAAAAAACTTTAATGGTTGATGGCAACTTAAAATTTCCTCATAAAAGTTTAGTGTTTAAATAAAATAAATACAAAGGAATATGGATTATAAGACACTTGGCATATGTGAGGTACAAAAACGAATCTCATAAAACCTATTGCTTTTCCCAAAACACAGAATAACAAATTAGGTGGTACAACTAGGAATGTAATATATTTACCAAATGAAAATTTTTAAAAAATAAAGAAACATAACCCTAATTATTTAAAGTGAATAATGATTTCTAATAATTGTATTGAAGCAATAAAAATTGACACAAGAAACAATATGTAAGTTTTTCTTTAACAAATTTAAAATTTTTCCATTAAATTAAAAAAAAAAAAAAAATTGAAAAATGTGGTATAACTATTAGTTACCAACTAAAAAAAGGAATTTATGAAAAAAAAATTTACTCTTTTTTTTATTCTTGCTTATTTTTTTAATAGAAAAATCAATTTTGGTACTTAACTTCAAAATTATTAATAATTTTAGTTTTTTTTTTTAACACAATAAGTTTTGTTATTCAAGACAATATAAATGAATTTAAAAGTCATTTTGACAACTAGGTCAGATTGACTAATAAATTTATCAGTAATTTTTTCATTTCTTTTCTACACATTAAAGAATATCAAGTTCAGTTTCTAAGTCTAAATTTATGTATGTAATATAGAAAAAAAAGAAGAATTAAAATTATGGAGATAAAAGAATAAATTAGTCCAAATTTTGTCACAAAAATTACAAAAAAAAAAGCTTATAACTTTTACTCTAGACATACAATAACTAAATAAATTGCAATATGTAAGACTACATAATATAGTCAATCTTTAATGTAACATAGAAAAATTTCAATCATGTCTTTACAAAATATGAAAAGTGGACAAGATGACAATGTTGCTTTTAACAATGCACACACTCCAACCACATAATAATGACTATTTACACTAGACACCAGCAAAGGATTAAATCTGTGCACTTTCCAGTTGATTTGCAGAAAAAAAATTCTTTTGAGGGGGAAAGTTTTCAGCAGAACTAAAAACAGATATACCATATTATAAAAAATGAATCAGTTATTAAAAAAAAAAGTTTTCAATTTGCAATATGCACTAAATTCTAGCAGTAAAGCTATGATAAAGATGTTAATACAAGAATAGTTAGGAAAAAAATAAAACAATGTAAATATGTGGGACCATAAAGAACATCAAAATAAAGAATTATACTTAGGGACAGATAACAAAACGTCAAATTAAGATAAATAATTTTAAAAGAATAACTCTTTAAAAAAAATTACATTATTTTTAAAAAAAAACAAATCACTGAAGAAAATAAAAAAAAGCAAAAGCCACAATGCTACCAAAAAAAAAAAATTAAATAAATAAATTAATGATAATGATTTAATAATGATTTTTCAAGATAAATAAATTCGCTCACAGAATTAAATAGCTCAAAAAGAGGGAATAATCAAGTAAAATATAAATCTCAATTATTTAAGACACAACAATAGGAAAATCACTAAAATAAGAAAGGTGTTTAGAACAAAAACAAAGAAGTACAATTAAGAACACAAACAAGATTAATAAAAATGAGAATTCAAAGTAAGAAAAGAAAGAAGGGAAGGAAAGTTTAAAAAATATATTTTAAAATAGCAGGCACATAACACTTAATACAGAAATGTATATGATTTGGAGGTCAATAAAAAGAAAAGAAAAAAAAAACATGCATGCATGCATGCACACACATTTCTTTCCATCACAAAGTTTCTAAACAATGGAATTAATCATGGTATAGCTTACATGAGAATCATTTTGTTAAATAAAAAAGTTTATGGTGATGATGAAAGCACAGATCAAAATTAGTAAAATACAGACATTCAAATGCATTTCAAGGATAACAAGGGAGGAGGTGAAAGTGATTGGATTCCCCATCATTACATATTGAAATAAAATGAAACTGATATTAAATTAGCTACCACAAATCACATGATAAAAAAAGGAAGTAACATGGTGTTAATTTGAGCTTTTGCAAGAAAAAGTTTGCCTACACTATGATTTTGATTTAAGATATTTTTTACACCAATGTATCAAAAGTGCAAAAATCAATAAAATAAAACAAAAAATTCTTACCTTCCACCGATGTCCACACTCATTGCAATATACAAAAGTTGTCATAGGTTCATCAGCACTTCTAGTCTGCACCTGTGAGAATTAATATAAAGAATTCATCTCAAGTCAAGGTTTAATAATAGGGAAAGCAGTTGTTTCTTAAAATAAATGGAAAAAAAAAAGTTAAAAGTTTTTTTATTAAAAAGTGAATTTGAGCTTATAAGGAGTACAGTAAATCAATTAAATATCCATACAACATAAAAAAAAAATTTCCAATTTTCTTAGGTATAAAGTCACAATAAATAACTAAAATGCACACAATACTTTGTTGACCCAAGATTCTAGCTGCACAAATCTATACTGACCTGGGTTCTTTTTAAAAGAAACTTGGGCCCACGAACAGTCTCTTCACGAAATATTTTATCATAAAAATAGGATTCCTTACAAAATATTTTATCATAAAAATGGGCCTTTCACAAACCTGTTTACTTTCTCTTTTATTGTTTTGCAAATGGATTGAAATGGATTTTTCCTTTCTGAAAAAATAAATAAATAATGGATCTAAAAGAAAAGCAAAATTTTGCTTTTGCCCCCAACCTTCAAGTCCCTCCTCATTTAACATCATCTTCTGTGTGGAAGTTGATGACATAAGCGAAGGGAGCAGGAGAGGAATATATATCAGTCTGTCTCTGGGGCAAAAATTTTAGTTTCATTCATTCATAAAATTTTTTAATTAAAAATTTTTTAATTAAAAATTCATTTCTATCACTTTTTTATTATAAATTTAATAAATATTTGAAGCTTCTTATTGTGCTACACATTAAAAGTAATCTAGTAGTTGTGTTATGCAGTAGTTATGTTAGTTTTTTCACAAGTTTACAAAGACTGGACCTTTCATAAAATGTCTGGGACTCTTACAGACACAAGAAATGTTAAGAAAATTCCGATTGAGCTTTAAATGATTGAAAGAATAATCATTGCTTTAAAAAAAAATAATAATTAAACATACATGCAATACAAAAATATATCTATAAAATATAAAGACAATTTTGTTTATTTTTTTCAGATTACATGCATACTTTGTTCTATGCTGTACTTATATTACTTTCTTTATTATCATAGATTATTCATTCTAAAAATATTCAAATATATCACAACATTCAAGAAAAATTAATATCCTTACTTCACCTGGTGTTATGTAAAGCAACCAAACATAGTGGTTGGGTAAATAAATTGAACTTAGATAACTAATCTTAAACATAGAAAGTAGCATTTTGACAAATAGTCTTCTCTGCATTGTAAAATGAGTTTCTTTATGATATTAGGTAGAAAAATGTTGCATAATGGAGAAACCTCCAGTTAAAGAGTTAATCTGAGATAATTATATGAGTTAAGAATATGTCTTACTTGATTGTATGTACAGTTGCTCTTTTTGCACTTTCCACACTTCAGTAAGTCCGTTTTAGTACCACCAGTTACAGCCATTTGGGCATCATTTATTGCTTCTTTGGTAAATTTTTGACGAAGGTTTTTCATTTCCTCACTTGCCATGTCCTAAACATGATTACATATTAGGATTTTGATGATTGCTACAATCTTTACGTTAAAAATTAAAACTTGTTTAATTTAGTTGTTTAATTGTCCCTCAATATTTTTATTGCAGAGTTAAGCCTGGATGATATAAAAAATATATACAGTCAGACCTCGATATATACAGTCAGATCTCAAAAGTGACCTTATAAGCGGGGTGACCTTTTAACCGATTCCTTGGCAGTTCGTAACTAAGCATGTAAATAGTACACATTATGATTTTTCAAAATGGTAATACAAACGAAAACGATCAGCCATAAATTAAATATTCAAGTCAATAAATTTTAACAAAATTAATAAAGAATTAAAGAAAGTTAGATTTAAAAAAAAAATTTAATTTAAAATAGAGCTGTTTACAAATTTTCTCAAAGTGTACATACATTACATCTTACCTTATTTAAAATAATCATTTATGCAGGTCTGTCTCGTTTTTGGTTTCATTTTTCGAACAATGTTTTCTAGATTTTGTAACTTCTCGAAATGTTCCTCAGCTCCCTCACGGTTTTTAAAAAAATTTCGTAAGACATTTATTGCATTGAAGGCCTCCACTTAGGTTACAGCTAGTCGCAGGATCACTATCATTGTCCTCACTGTCCACAACTTGTGAAGCAATTTCAGAAATTGTAGCTTGTTCATTGGCTGCAACATTTTCCGAGAAGTCGAAAAGGGTAATTGTCTCGTAAGGAAGTTAAATAGGCTTTTGTTAGAAAAGAGCTCCCCTCGCCTCAGATAAAAATGACCTTATAAGCGATAACGATATTTAAAACTTGACCATATATCCGATAATCTGTAACAAAGAATTCCTATTCAGTGAGCCGGGACTTTGGAAAAGTGACCTTATATGCGGGGTGACCATATATCGAGGTCTGACTGTATATGGTAATATATCGCCTGTTAGACATTGCAATAAAATTTATGTTTGAGTATTGTTTCCCTTATATCAAAATCGCACAATCAGAAATCCTAAACCAATTAAAAATAAATAATTTCGAAATAAAAAATTTTAATTATACAAAAAAATGCTGATTTTATAACATTAATAACATTGCCTAAGTAATTATAATAATAAAGATTGATTACCATAAGACAGAATTTTAAAAATAAAAATGAGTAAGATATGTTTTAATTTTTTTTAAAAAATAAAAAGGACTTAAGATTATTCGTTTAAAAATAATAAAATTCCATTAAATAGTTCATCTGATAAAAAAGTTAAAAACTTTTTTAATATTCTAATGGGCTCTCTCACTGTATTAAAAAATTGTAGGAGACATAGCTACTTTGGGTATTCAATTTCACAATAAGTACATAGAAAAATGTTGAGAGAAAACAGTGAAGTAAAAAATAAACAAAATAACAGTCATATAAATAATAATAATCATTTAAAAATTATTTACTTAACAAAAAAACACACGAACCATTCAGCAATGCACAGAAATGCACCCAAGGACTTAAGGAGAAATGCACCTTATTATACCGAAAAAGCTATTTCATTTAAGAAGCTTAACATGAGCTTCTTTAAAATTCCAATTTGTTTGAAAGAAGTTATTGTTAAAGTGCCCAAGTGCACTTCTTTTCATCTCCCATAAGCTTCACACTACATTTCAGTTTGAGGTGCAAAAACTAAAAGACTTAGAAACTTAAAATGTAGAAAATTAAAAAAAATTACTTACAATTAAAAAAATAAAATTTTGAAATAATTTCAGAAAAAATAAATAATGCTAAATACGAAGGTGTCACTCTGCAACAATATTAATATATTTTTTAAGTTTTTAAAGTTATAAAAGACATTTTTTACAAACACATTTTAAATTTAATTTTAAAGAATACATTAAATTTGAATGAGAGATATTGTTCTGAGAAAATAATAACTGATCGTTGCATATTAAACATCACAAATTGTTGCAGAGGAGAGATTTTTGTCCTGGAGGTAACTAGAAAACTGTCATTTTCTTCATAAACATGTAAAATATATCAGTTTGATTGTATTTATTTCAACAAGAAGTAAAGAACAAACTAAATTTGTGAGATGGTTTCTTCAGAAGAGAAAAATAAAAAAGATCATCAGGGATTACAGCGTCAATGCTAACAAATGCTGAAATCTATCCCACAAACATTACATTTTGTTAAGGTTTTAATCAAAAACAAATTGGGAGTTTTTGCAAACTCACTTTTCTGTATTTTAGTAGGGGAAAGAGAAAATTTGCTTCAAATCCACAATGTCTTTACATAAGTTTTTGAGGATGATCGAGTGTTATCAAACAAAAACATTAATGATGTTAGTAGTTTGTTGTAAATAATTTTGTTGTAGTACGATTGAAAAATTTAAAGAATAAAGGATTTTATGTTGCATAAGTGTCAGCGATTGAAAGTGATACAGTTGAAGTACTGTTTTTAAGAAAATATAATGATACAGGAGTTTCTCACACATGAAGACAGAAGCTAATTTCATTGCTCTCAAACTGCTAATTTGTTTCCTGAAACTATTTTTGATCTATAAAAATTCCCTTTTTTTTAATTTCCTAAGCAAATTAGCAATGTTATGAATAAATCAAAACATTATTTGTAAACTTTGCATTTTCCTTTTAATTTGACAGGAAGGATTGAAAGTCTTTTCTATAATGAGCTGACAAATTTCAAATATAAGTTCTTAATTAAAAATGATGTTTGAGATTTAGTAGAAATTTTTTTTCTTTATAATAAAATAGGGTTATCATCTTTAAAAAATATGCCAGCAAGATTTAACTCATATAAGAGCTAAATTTCCTTATTAAGTATAGATTTCTAAAAATTTTCAATTTGCTGTTCTGTGACGATATTTTTAATATTTATAAAAAAAAAGTTTAATTGACTTCTTTTATACATCGATCTTACTAAATAAAATCTGCAAAGCTCTTAACTTTTACATATTTTTGAAATAAATAATAAAGCTAAGATCTAAATATTCCTTCTACAACCTGTTAACAAATTTTAAAATGTTGTCAATTTGGCGCACAATTTTTTTTATATTTTTATTGAAGTTAAATAGTGCTACTTTAAAAAGTAAGCTAAAGAACATTCAACAAGTATAAGAGCAGAAATCCCATTTCAAATATAGATTTTCAAAAACGCTTAATTTTGCTTCCCCTTCCACAACAATATTTTTAAAAATAGTAAAATATATAAATTTTTTTTAACTAATTGCTTTTATATATTGATCTTATTAAAACTCGGTAAAAAATTTTAAAAATTCATTTTTCGTTTAAATAATAAAACAAACCTCAAAATGGCCGTCTACAGCATCTTATTTACCCTGGAATTGTTATAAAAATTTATATTGGAATGTTTTTATAGTATAAAAAACCTAATTCAAGACAGAAAAAAAAAACGGATTTCTTATGACATAATGACAAGTGTTGTTAACAAGAATATATTCTTTATTTCTATTTTCCTTAGGAGTAAAATTTTCTTTAGCACAGTTGAATAGTGTTTAAAAACTGGAAATCATTTATTTTATTTTTGTTAAGATTATTAACAAAATATTCTTTTAGTTCAAAATATGACTTTTAAGGGAAAAATTTTTTAATGCAAAGTAATCATGGGATTTAGTGATTTATAAACATAAAAATATTAATTCAATAAAGAAAACTATTTCAACTGATATAATAACATGTGTTTTATTAACAAGTAAAATTACTTCCTAATAAGTCATACATTCTGCGTTCTTTAAATTTTTTTTTTTTAGTACAGTGTAACATTACAGCAAAAAACGTGAATAAAGCACAAATGAATGTACATATATTTACATACTATAAATTCAGTTCCATAAACAAAAACACTCCTTGCTTTTAAATTTACGTTTAGATATTGAGGAAGATCTTGTATACGGAACTGAAACTCTAGTATGTCCATTTAGGTATTTTCATTTGTGTATTTGTGTTAGGTAGTTGCTAGGTATATTCATGCTGTCTTTTGCTTCAGTCTATATAGTACAAAGTAAACCAATCCATATTTGAATATTGTTTTAATCTAGGAAGTCATTTATTTTATTTTTGTTATCATTATTAACAAAATGTTGTTTTTGTTTAAAATATTGACTTTTAAAGGAAAAAAAAAAATAATGGAAGCAAAACAATCATGGGATTCAATGATCTGAGTGAGCAGGGAATATAGCTTCTAGTCATTAAAAAATATTTTAATATAATTTTAAAATCATTGTGTCCCATAAGTAAAAAATACAAAAAAAAAATACTTACATCTGCTGTCATGACAGCTATTCTAGCAGGCTCAATCAATCCTTTTAAAACATTTACTCTCAATGCAGGATTTTTTGAATCTTTCAAGTTAGCAACCCTGCTACGGACTCTATTCTTGTATTTCATATTGGTGTCACCAAACTCTTCAAATATACGTGTCATTAATTAAGGATTGTTTAATTTAAAAAAAAGCTTATCATTAATTAAGTATTGTTTAATTTTAAAAAAAAAGGTTATTTTAATTATCTTAAAAAAAAAGGTGCAAGTAATTATAATTTTGATAAGAAAAAGGGAAAATCTAAGAAATTAATATAGTAAAAATAGTTTACATTATAACAATAAGTATAGATATTGTATTCCATATTGGAGTCACCAAACTCTTCAAATATACATGTTATTAATTAAGGATAAATGGCAAAATATTTAATTTAAAAAAGGTCATATCAACTATCTTAACAAAATGTTTTTTTTAAAAAAAGCTTTAGTAATTATAATTTCGATAAGAAAAAGGGAAAATCTAAGATCAATATTTAAAGATAACATATAAATCTTTTGCCAATAATTTGTAACACAACTTAGCTAACTAAAAATATTTAAAACACAAAAGAGTAAATATTTATCTTTCACAAAATATAAACTTTTGTGGGTTAAAACAGATTTTGCATTGTTAAAATAATTTACACCATAATAAGAAGTACAGACCTGTTGAATTTATATACCTTTTAAGATGAAAAAATAGTTTATCCAGATTTCACTCTAGGAATAAAAAAGGGTTGGGTGCTTCCTCATAGAAAAAGGCACTTAATACCCTAAAAATTTACCAAAATGTGTAATAACTGAATTTGACCTTCAACATTTTTTAAGTTACTATCTTATTCTATTTGACGTGAAGATTACAAAAGAGTAATTTTCCCTCATTATCTAAATAAGAGTAAAAATGTGTAGTTTATAAACAATAATTAAAGGCATGTAAAGAGAAAATCTTTATGCAAAATTTTTTTTAATATATATATATATATATATATATATATTTNAAATCCCAATATATATATATATATATATAAAAGTAAACAAAAATTTTTTTTCCTAATTTTACTGAAAATTATTAAAAAATGAACATTTAAAGATGTATTGTTTGTTTATTTAAAAAAAAAAAGATATTTATTTAAAAAATAATAAAACTTAAAATCACTTAAAAAATTTATTAATATACCCCCTTGAAAAAAGAAAAACTTATAAAAATTAAACCAGTTGAGAATAATCCTAACAAAGTAAATATTTGTAATAGTAGTCAGAATTAAACCAATAAAACAGATAATTTTCGTATAGAATTATTATTTTAACAGTTGTGTTTATTTTAACAGATATGTTTCTTAAAAATGGAAAATGAATAAAACGGCAGTAATTTTAAGGGAAGGTATAAGGTTTTCAGGGATTCTCATATTTATAAAAAGGGCAAAGAGGTGCATTCATGGGGATTAGTTGGCAGGGTAGGCCGCCCTTCTAAAAACGCCTAGAGAGAACATTGACTTACATGATATAAGGTTAACTGCACATACTACTTATTTTATAATGTAATTTAACTAATTCTTGAAAATAATTAAAATAATAAAAAAAATCACTGCAGAAAAAAAAACAGTTATTATGCTTGATATTTTTTATGAAAAAATAAAGGATATAATCTTCTATTTTTGCACCCAAATCATCAGGATTTCCAAAATCATCCTCTTGTTCTGAAAGAAAAAAATAATTTTTTACGTAAAGTTTCTTAATGATAAAGAACTTTATTTAGGTGGTTCAGTGATTTTTAGGTTTTGGAAACTATGGAGCCAAGACTTTAAATTTCTGGGTAATTTTATACCAAACGCAGATTGCAATTAAACGAAGTACAGAGCTTCATTTTAAGGATGCAATCAAAAGTAAATAATTTATGCGTTAATTTTTAAACTAAATACTAAAGTTCGAAACCCTCTAAATCTGTTTAAATTACAAAATTTTATTTAAAAAAGTTTGCATTTTCAGCACACAAATTCTTTACTTCTCTATCTACCAAATTAGTATGCACATTTATAGTGATAGATAAAAGTGAATAGACCTATTTAAAGAATCAAGACTTTACAGCACTGCACACACCTGCAGTAAAGAAATGCAACTATATGATTTGACACTCACAGAATGATTTTATACTTCTAGTGTTAATATAGAAGTGGAAAATAAAACTTTTTTTTCCCTTGAAAAGTTAGGTTAATTTTGGCCAGTTCAAAAAAAAGATGTGGTGCTAGTTAGAGATACGTCCAGGCTTGAACAATTTTAATCCGAGCCATAGATATATAGGATTACTTAGAGCCCACCTGAACCTGAGTTATACGTCAGATAAAGGTCAAATTTTGTAGTCTTGTAATTAGGCTTTTGATGGCTTAAGAAAGGAAAAAATAAAGTAAAACCTTTTTTATCACTAACCTGTGAAAGAAATCAGTTCACAATCGATAATCTGCAACAGAATATCACTACTCTATATAAAACGTGATTCTATACCTTATTTGTATAGACTACTTTGATTTTGAAAATAATAAATATTTTTTTGCTGTTTTTCTTTTCGTTACATTTGCTTTCTTCTATTATCTCTTATTTCGCTTTTTCTTCATAAAGTGAAATATGAACAGAAACCATCAAAATATTCTTTCAGATAATGTATTTCACCTCAGCAACCTAATAAAATTTGCTTAACTATACTGCACTCAAAGTCTTGTATATATATATAAATATATGTGTGTGTGTGTGATGTTAGCAGTCGTGGTCGAATGTTCAGCCACGCAGACAAACAGTTGGAAGGAAAAAATATTTTTATTGAACTTTACATCCTGTATTCAGATCACTTTCTAGCATTGGTGGAGCTCAAATCGCACTCCAAAATCTGTGAGCTTTCGTCTTTATGCTAGGGAAAGTAGCCCTTTATTTTATTAGATCTCAGGAAAAAAGGGAAACATTAATAATTATAATTGGTTTATTAAACAGGTAGCGGGGTTCCCACAAATTGCAAGGGGAAAAATGTAATTGCAAAATGCAAATTGCAAGGGGAAACTGCTAATTAACGCATACTTGAAGTAAAAATAGATTAAAAGACAGGATGTGAATTTAAAAGTGTGAGAGTGGGTGTTTCGTTTTGAATAATAAATTAAGAAAAGGATTTACAGAAAATGAATAACATAAAAAGTTTAATTGAAGCTTTTTATGTTACACACACACATATATATACAGTGAAACCTCCTGTTATGGACACTTCTGCAAAACGGACGGCTCTCAATACGGACATATTTTTTAATCCCCGGGAATCTTCCATGAATAAACCATTACGTACATTCTCCGCAAAGCGGACACTCCCGTAACCAGACGCGGACAGTCATTTTGGTCCTGAAACGTTGCTTTTTATCTCTACAAACCGGACACTACTTTTGCAAGCTAAAAAAATGCAACTTTTCACCATTTTTAAAGCATGTAAATAAAAATTTTTTGCCTTATCCATAACTAAAAATATTGTTAAGCTATTTCACCACCGAAAAATCAATCTTTCTCTTGTCACCTTGCCTTATCTTTGTAAAGAAAGGAGAGAAAATGGTACTGCACTCCTGAAATAATTCTGACATCGGCATCTTTTGATCTTTTCATCTGGACCACACAGGTTATGAGACCCCTCAAGTTGAAATGACTTCT